TGTGTGTGTGTGTGTGTGTGTGTTTAACGTTTTCTGTTACTCCCTTCGTCTACTTTGTGTCAACTTGATAACATATATGTATCCATTTATCGAAACACGTCCAGTGCTGCTCGACCCTCTTCACGTCTTCTCTTTCTCTCATTTCATTGCATTCTTCCTCCTTTCTTGCCTTTACTCTCAACTTGTTCTTCATATGAATTCACTACAGGCTATATCGAACTTTCGCAAGGAATTTAAACTCATAGGTGTTGTGGAAAAGAGGAGAAGGTAATGAGGGTAACAATGGTGGGGGTGGGGGGAGAGATACGGAACATGTCAGGAAATAGTAAGTCTAATTGTTATTAATTAAGTTTGCTGCTGCAACCCTGGTTGTGGAGATGATATTTACTGAATTCAGCATTTATATTGAACTATTTTGTCTGATGTTTCTACCTTCAAGGACCTTGATGAGTTCATTTGAGAATGTTAATCCATAATATCGTGTACATGTATTATTATTGTACGACAGTATAAAGTCGAAAAGATAAATGTACCGTAATTTAATGTACGCAATATTATATCTCCCTTCAATACGTAACAAACCGGAAGTTACCTATTTGACTCTCCCCTTTCAGTCAAAGATGGCGGACATCGACAAATGGATCGAGATTGCAAAACAATGCAAATATTTACCTGAAAATGATTTGAAAGTATGTTGAAAACTTTTTTATTGAACTGTTTATATCTATATTTGCAAATGTTTTTTGCAAGTGTAACGTAGTGGTAATTTAGGAATTCGTCATTTCGAAGTCACTTTTAGTCGAGGTTTCCCAACTTTTCTATTTTCTGTTCAGTCCGAGTCAGAAGTCGGACACAAAAGCGGATAGAGGGTAGGTTGGGGGCAACTTCGACAGGTTTGTGTTGATCTAGTGCCACAAAAGTAACTGATACTGCTCCTGCCTTGACACTCCTGTACAACTGCGGTCCCGTTTGCTCTAAATCACTCTAGGCCAAGACCGGTGCGATATTTTTACGGGCGCTTTTTCTGTAGTTCCCACCCTGCAATTGTTGTTCGCTGATTTTGGCCCCCAGAGTAGGGGGTTTGCCCCCCTGACCTAATAACAATATGGTGGGAGGGTTTCCCCCTGAATTTTACCATAATTTGATGTTAAATTTTCGAAGTGACTATTCGGACTCGAGTCCGAATATGAAAAAATGTTATTCGGACTGATTCTTGTCCAGCATGACATCACTTCCGACTTCCTGTGACTAGTGACTCCGGCTTCCTGTCTTGCCTCACTCGTGACTCGCCTCAGGCTGGGTAGAGACCGAGATCACTTCGGGCAAAATGGCGTTTTGTGCAGGAGCCGAGTTTTTATCTTATGATGAATTTGAGGCTGGCCTGAAAAGTTATAGTGCTTCTGAACTAATAAATGTTCATTTGTCAAGAGGTCATCAGAAGCAATTAAAGATGGCTCGTTAGCGTGTGTCGAGGTCGGATGGGCGGCCTGCACACGTGTGGCTGTGTGCGTGTCGGGGAGGGGGATGGGGGGGCACTATCAGTCCGGGCGTTGAACGTCGCTTACGCGTCAGTCTTTTTTCCCCCAGCAACTGATCATTACAATATAAGCTAAGTCAGTCTTGACGTAGATCGACATAATGAAATGTGCGCTGGTCTATGGAATCAAAAGTTGCCGTAATCTCAGCTCTACACAGCAACACAACTTTTTCTTGGTAAACAATCGAGATGACACAGGCTTGTGTATTTGAACGAATCTGTCTTTTTTTTGGGGGGGGGAGTGTATACGGACCCGGTAACCGGGAACAAAGTCACAAAGTATACAGACTCGGTAGGGGAACTCTTTTGTGAATTCGGAAAGTTTCAGCGCCCTCTTGGCTCAGGGTAGACCTAGGTTCTTCCAGATCTATGGCCCAGGTCTAGATCTAGACAGACAAACATAAATAAATCATTGATCTAGTTTCGAGGCTAGCCGATAGATCTAGATCTAAATTATGAAGATTGCAGATGTCTTTTTGATGAACGATCGTTTTTCCTCCGTTTTAGAGTTGGAGGAATCACAATTTGAAGAATTTAAGAACAATGTCATAATTTCAATCGAGCAGTCACCCTCTCTATTTCTCTCTCTCTCTCTCTCTCTCTCTCTCTCTCTCTCTCTCTCTCTCTCTCTCTCTCTCTCTCTCTCTCTCTCGCTCACACACACTCACACATACATACACACACACATACACACACACACACACTCTCTCTCTCTCTCTCTCTCTCTCTCTCTCTCTCTCTCTCTCTCTCTAGCGGGTCTGGGCGCTGAAACTTTCCGAAATCACAAAAGAGTTCCCCTATCGGGTCAGTATACTTCGTGACTTTGTTCCCGGTTACCGGGTCTGTATACACTTCGGTTCCTTTTTTACACAGCTCATAATATGCAGGTGCCAGGTGGTCTGCTAATCTTCCGTTTTACCTTTTTCTACAACAAAGAAAGTGGGAAACATGGGGGGGGGGGGGGGGGAATCAATGAGGCGGCGGGCATCGGATTGACAAAAAAGGTGTGGGGGGAACTAAAAAATGGCGGAAAATTGGAAGCACTGAATGTTAGATCTATAGAACGAAGACACTTCCTTTTTTCCGGACCCGAGTCCGAATACATTTTTTCATATTCGAACTCGAGTCCGAATATGAAAAAATGTTATTCGGACTCGAGTCCGAATAATCGAGTCCGAATAAAGACGGCCTAAATTTTGGTAGTGTCGATTGCTACGGAGTGACCCGGTGGCAATTGACAAAAATAGACAGCAGCATCAATTGCCACCAAGTAAATTGGAGCTCTTTTGCATTGGTGAATAGATCTAGATCTAGCCTATTGTGCTCGAGTGCTCGGTTTTGTGTGCGTTGGCCTCTCTGTCCCTGTGTGTGTGTGTGGGTCTTTTCCTGACCCCCGTCCCCCTGATTTATGTTCCCTAATATAAAAGGAAGTGATTATTCACACCGGGTGTGCGCATAAGATTTCATTTTATTCACACCAAGTGTGTGCATAAGAATTAATATTATTCACAGCGGGTGTGCGAATAAGAAATAATTTTATTTCCTCAGGGTCGAGCCTACGTTGAGTTTGGACCTCGTTTGTCACACCCGGGTATCCCACCTTTTGGCAAAGGCTTTATGTTAAAACAACTGGACACTAGATCTAGATTAGATCTAGTATAACTTGTTTAGGGTTAAAGTAAGCATGCACTCATCTCTCTCTCTCTCTCTCTCTCTCTCTCTAGCGCAAGGAAAACAGAAAAAAAAAAGAAAAAAGAGAGATTTGAGCCATTATCATTGACACAATACCCAACTTGAATTCTAATTTGAGTTGGGAAGAGGGGGGGGGGGGTTTGTATCGCATTGCACAATTAGAATTAGATCTAGATTTCTTGATCAATCCCTTGATCTTTCTCCCTACGCGAAAGAGGATGAAAAAAGGAAAAATGAGGAAATGCTAGATTTAGTATTTTCCATCCTTCTTTTGAATGCCCTGTGCCAATAATATTTTGTGGTATTCACACACCCTGTGCGAATATAATTTCATAGTATTCACACACCCTGTGCGAATAACATTTCTAGTATTCACACAGTATTCACACACCCTGTGTGAATAACATTTCACAATATTCGCAGTATTCACACACCCTGTGCAAATAAAATTCCATAGTATTCACACACCCTGTGCAAATAACTACAGCCAATATAAAATGAATTTCTGCTTGAGTTTGTGACCTTTTACTTCTAGAATTGCCTGTGTTGGTTCTACACCGAAGTGTGTAGTACAGGCTAAGGCTAGCCTAGGTCTAGGCCTATGTCTCATTGAAAACACGCCAAGTTGATACCGTAGCTCTAGACTAGATGCTCAACCAATGAAATTTGTAATTAGTAGAGAACAAATTGACCCATTAGACATACATTATGAATAGAAAGTTAAAGATAGTGTTGTTTTCAGACTTGACACCGCTTCACTTGGTGGCAATTGACACTTTCGTCAATTTTTGTCAATTGCCACTCGATGGCAATTGTGACACTACCTAAATTTTGCAGTTGTTAGGTTTGATATATCTTAGCTCGCCGCACATCGATCTAGATGTAGATCTAGGCTCAAAGAAGAGGGGTGGGAACTACTGAAAAAGCACCATTTTACGTAGGTATTTTAGTACGATTTTTTTCTGAAATTAGGCGAATACGACTTTTCATGAAAAAATACGCATTCTCGAATCCGAAAAATATGAGATTCAGTTTGGGCAAGTAATCCTAATTATCTCAAGTCTCGTCTTTTGTCAAAATAGTATCAGTATCGCGGAACTGGAATATTTGAAAACCGAGTCTGATAAGGCTTAAAGGCCGGTTAGTTCATTTTGGCCGATCGCGATTGTAATATTATATTCGTTCAGCTTTTCCCCGTCCGAGACTACGTTTCACTTTCACGCGAACAGGCGACTACATGCAATTAAACGTAGAACTACGCAAACTATTGGATACCCCTCCTAGACCTGCATGTTTGCCGACAATCGTCTGAAATCCGACAATCACGACCTGACCCGAGAGCCGGCCGATGCTATCGCTAGGCCCACCTGTATCCAGTGCTTCCACTCTTCCGTATTTTTACGGAAATCCGTACTTTCTGCCAGTTCCGTACTTGTTCCTCCCTCATTGTCAACTCCCTCCGTACAAAAAACTGCAACCGCGCAGGACTGCCGAAATTCCGTACTCGCCTTCGTATCGTCTTGTATAAGTTACGGATATTTACGGTAATTCTCTCGGCAACAAGTTAAAGTTATAGAAACCTGCCAGATTGCACATTTCCTGCAATCTGCCATTATTCCGCTATATCCCATGCATTCATTGCAGGTTGGTCGGCAGTACATCTTTTACCTGCAGATGGATCAAAATCTGGCGAACTTTTTGTGCCAATTTCCTCCTTTCTATCATTCACTCATACCTTCTGTCTATCTTCGGATTGTTGCCGCGGATGGAAGATCTGCGAAGATTCTATGGCAGGTGAACACTATAAGGGCCACGATGAAAGAAATATGCTGATACGGGGTGCCCACTACGGATGGGATCGGCCGATTGCACTGATCGCCCAACTCGGTGAAATAAAACTGGAAATAAAAAATAATTTAAAGTGGTGTTTCGAGGTTCTGACAGGCGACATTCAGACGTGAAAATTGAGAGAAAATGTGGGTATACGCTGCACTTTTTGAAGGTACATCTATTCATTATTCCCATGTTTGCCTGCTGTCAATGGTGCGACAACAAATTAATTGAATATAGTAGCAATGAAAGGGGAACCTGCTTTTAAACCTTGCCAGCAATGGAAAGGTATGTTGGTGAAAAAATAAATGTTATGGGCTGTAGGCAATCTCTTCGAACAGGCTCCCAAATGCCATTTTCAACCCTTTTAAAGCACTAAATTTCAATTTCTTCTGGAGCTTCGCCACCTGAACCCTCACCTGGACTCTGTCCCTGGACCCTGCAGAATTTTCCTTACTTTTCAGCTTCAGCTGGTGGAAGCACTGAATATTAACATGTCATTGATGGCACAAATGAGCTCCCTTTTTCAAGGTGGTGAGCTGCTTGATTTTCTTGGTAGTAAATTTTTTTTTCCAGGTCGTAAATTTTTGCAGGAAATATTGGTGGACAACCTGAACATTTTACTAGTTGGTCGGTCGTGGGGAAATACACATTTTCCGCTGAAAATACACATTTTAATATTTCCCAATACTCATTTCGGTTTTCTGTGGTTGGCATCTCTGAGAGTAGGCTACTGGATATCTGCCGGCTGCCGTCGTGCGGTCATGTTGCCACCATGACTGACATCAAAGTGGGAATCCCTCAGTGACATCAAACAAGATGGCTGTTACTATAAATATCGGCCAATGACGTACATCTGGCGTTCTCTAATTATCCGCTGTTGAAGTCGGACAGTGACAGTAGGGTAGAACTAGATTATTAGAGATCTATCTATATCTACATCTAGACTAGATTAAATCTGTCAGTATCAGTTTCAGTGTGTTCTATTTCAGTTGTTGATTTTAAACTAGAAACCAGCTAAGTTCGTTATTTTTAACTCTTGTCCTTCGTCTTGTGCCAAGATGCGAATCTTATCAGCAACCTATTATGGATGTTCCGGGCAGGCCACCGGGTTCACTCAGCGTGTACTGTTGGTGTACAGCGAGCGGGCCTGGAAACGTGTGTTTTCGCCGTGAATACCGTGGGAGTGTGTTATTCGATGATGAGAATAACACTCTATCTTTTATAGCTTTCTTTATAAAGTGTTGCGAACACATGTATCATAATGACCCCCTGATAAGACATTACAAGTAGTTACGCCCATTCGAATAACCTTTTTAGACGCTCTTGTTGTTATGAATTATCTGGGGTTTGAAAGGGGATAGTAGGGCAATTTCAGAATGTTTTGCCCACAAATTATTCTTTTTACCTCCACAATGGTATTCAAAACTATCAAATAAGCTTATTTTTATCAGGTAGTATTATTTCATATAAAATCAAGCTAATTTGAAAGATTTTGTTTAGAAAATTGGAAGTCTTATTTCCTGACTATCCTTTCGAGCTCCTCAAGACTAAGTGGGTCAATTTGTTCTTATTTCATTGGGCGAACATCTCTAGAGCTACCAACTTGGTGTATTTTGAATGAGACGTATGCCTCGGTTACGAACCAACGCCGGCGTTCCAGAAGTAGGCCACAAACGCACACAAACTCAAGCAGACTGACACTTACACACTTGAGCTTTCACCAGCAGATGGCCTTAAGTTAGAAGCAGAGTCTGAATAAATAAAACATTTTTGGCGGACCGGAGTCCTAACTGATAAAAAACCTTTTCGGACTCTAGTCCGAATAAAGGTGGTCTTTTCATTATTCTCACCCTTGGTTAGAATAGCTCATCCCCCGATATTCTCACCCCCACCCCTGTGTGGGCATGAGGTGAGGACTCGCCCTAGACCCTAGGTGGCTTACAGCATGTGTTTGGGAAATTACCCATGACAGCTTGGCGCTTGTTTCCTCATGTAGGCCGACTACTGATTACTGTTGCCATTGCCTTAATTTGTTTATCAAATAGCCTTCGTAAAAATAAGCTTTAATTATGAGTACCGGTAGGTATCAGTAAAAAAGTTTCCTTTTGAAACTGTTCCAGCGCAGATAAAATTCTCTAAAGGGCGAAATACGCTGTCAAACTGAAATGCCATTTTGAGAAAGAGGACGGTTTCCTCACTGCAAACATAAGGGGGCTGAGAATAGCAAGACTCAGGCTGTTCAAGTCTTACCCCTTGTGAGGATAGCCACTTCCTTAAGAAAATTTCAACCCTGTTAATTACAAGACATGAAATTGTGAGAAAAATAAAGGTGGGGGCATTCTCACCTACCCCTCTCAAACCCCAACAGATTTTTATGGACTTGTGAAATATCACTACACATTTAGTTGTGTATTATCAATAAATATGTGTCATGACACGGTGGAATCAGGCGCTCGTCAATTTTTGGGCATGTGGAGATATTGGGATCATCCAAAAGCTTGTTCATTTGCCTTGTTTTCTATGAAAAAAGTACCCATCTATTTTGAATAGAAATTGAGATATTTCCGATTGAAGGAGCTATGGTCACCTGGTTCATGTGACGAATTTGTGAATTTGTCAAGAAAATGACCGCCGAAGTTTGATAACGTCAATAGCTTCAGATTTCCTTGAAAACCGAAAATTTACATATTTTGGGCCTTTAAATGAAGTTTTTCCATAAAATTTACATAGAAATGGGATTTTACATGGACATAAATGGTGTTGAGCACAAAAACAAAAATTTGATTAAAATTGCCAAACTGGTGGGGAAAAAAAATGCCTGTTTTTTTCAATTTCATTACTTTGACGAGGGCCTGATTTCACCACGACGTGTCACATATTATATATATTTTTTTTATTTTTTTTTTTACAAAGTCTACTTTTTAAAAAATACCGCAAAATATCACACTTCCCTGGACTTTCCTTTTTGTATCTGACTTCTTATGAGATTAATTCCCGTATGTTTATAAAAATGATTGTTAAGTTCACACTTTGCATTATTGTCTGAACAGAAACTGTGTGATATGGTATGTGAGCTGCTGTTGGAAGAATCTAATGTCCAGCCAGTCAACAGCCCTGTCACTGTGTGTGGGGACATCCATGGCCAGGTATGGACAACAAGCCAGTTTTGCTAAAATGATTATAATTTTTGTGTGTTATATTGTAAACTGTTCCGTTGAACTCAGGATGCCACGTTGTCATTCTTTCAACAAGAAAGTCTTCTTCCCAGGTAACTGTGATTCCACCTTTTCGAGTGATGATTTAATGGTTCAAATTTTGGGAGTTCTACATGAACAATGTTGAACTTTTAATGATTTGTTGAGTAAAATAATACTTAAACATACTCATCCCTTTTCATCCATATTTCCCTTGTCAATTTGACCCAGTAGAGGATGCACATTCTGAATTTTTTGTAATTATTACGATCATTGCATTTTTGTTTTAGTTAGAGACAGACCAGTAGCTATGAAGTGAAAAAGGTTTGTGGTGGCATACAGTGGAACTTTTTTGGGGAAATGAATGTGGTTCAGAAGCTGAAAGTGTTTGTTGAGTGTATTTTATTATGTTCCTATAATTAGGCATTGTTAGAAAAAAAGACATGTTGGTTTCATAGTTCAATCCTTTACTTTTTAACTTTTAGTTGAAAGAGAAATCATTCACTTACCTTTATCTTCTGCTTCTCAGTTTTACGACCTCATGGAGCTCTTCAGAACAGGTGGAGAGATGCCAGACACTAACTACGTGTTCATGGTGAGCTTTTTTTAAAAAGACTGTCAGGCTGGCTTACTCTTCTTTCTTGCACTGTGAATGTGATATAAATAATATAGTTGACCTCAACGGTAAATTCATTCTAACATATATATAGGATGTCTGTTAAAAAGTGTACCTCTCTATCTGTGTTGGTTATGGTAAAGTGCAGTTCACATGTTTCTGCTTTCCAGTCTGCTTAACTTTTTTAAAAAGTAGTGTCCAGCCCAAAGTCTTTTACTTCTTAAAATAAGAATTGAGCTTGTATTGTGCATTTTGTCTTAAGATAAATCTCTTTGCTAAAACTGGCAGTTTTTTGTTGTTGTTTTTTTTTTGGGGGGGGGGGGTAATTGCCTGTTTAATCCGTTGGTTATACTGCATTGCATGTACTGACAGATGTCAGTGTATTTGAAAAATATTTTTAAGCATTACAACTATGACAGAAGTGGTTGATAAAGTTTGTCGCTGCGGGGCTTGAATTTTAAGCCGTCCTTTAGAAGCGACCTGAAATATTTGAGTGTTAATGAATGAAGCAAGAAACAAAAATGTTCTAGTGAGTTACGACATGCTAAACTTTTCCATGTTTATAGTGGGAAAAACAACAAAAGTACTTCATAGAATGATTAGGCGTTCTTACTATAGATTTACTCTAAATATGGAAAAATAAGACTTGTGAATAATTTGTATTCCATGTTTAGAGTTGCAAATTCGATTTTTTTAAAATACTTCTGAAATGGAAAGGCATAATTTATATTTACTGTATATGGAAAAAACAAGGCTTGTGGATAAATATCATTGCCCAAAACAGAAAAACGTTGTCATTAACGATTTTTGTATGCCCTTTTCTGTCTTCAGGGAGACTTTGTAGACAGGGGTTACTTCAGTCTGGAGACCTTCACACTTCTGCTGACCTTGAAGGCCAAGTAAGTCGCGTTGTTGAGGTTAGCAATTTTCAGGAATTACGAAAGTCTAGGACTTGCTATCTTTTTTTTTCTTGGGTGAGAGCAGATATAATTATTTCTACTTAACTTAGCAGTCTGCATTCTTTGTACCTAGTTTAGGCAATTCTATTGAGTGGAGTGAACATCAGGGGGATATTTTGTATTTGGCTCCTCTTTCCTTCTGTGTCTTATCTGTTTTTATCTTGTCATGTGTTTGTCATATTTAATGATTTTGTTAGTTTTGTATTGTTGTTGGTGGTTAGTGAGTGCTTAAGAGTTTAATTTTTTGGGTATTTATTTTTGTTGTCAGATCTTTTTTCGCTTTTATTTTTTTTATTGTGGGGGGAGGCTATTCTTTTGATATAGCTTCTAATACTTTTTTTTTGAGGGAAAAGGCGTCTTAAAACCAGAACTGAGCTTAAAATTATTTTACTTCTTTATAATTGTCAGGTGGCCAGACAAGATTGTTCTGCTCAGAGGTAATCATGAAAGTCGCCAGATCACACAAATCTATGGCTTCTACGGTAAGTTTTGATACCACTGATGTCCCTTTTAACACTTTACTTTTTTGTCAATAACTTGAAGGGGGCTTTCGTGGCCTTTAGGTTAAGGTGTTGGCCTCTCATTCAAAGGTTACGGGTTCGAATCCGAGTAGAGATAGAAAAAATTTCTTCTCCGAAATTGTCTCCTTTCACCTCCTTTCCTACTCTCTAACAATGTTCTGTCGTCTGCTTTCGTCTCCTCTTTCTGCCCTCACCCCCCTCACCTCCTTTGCCCCCTCCTCTGGGCTCCTGACTCTTTCTGCAGCCTTTCTACTGCTACTCCTTGGCTCCTTCTTTCTGCTGTCTTTCAACCACACCCCTGATCTTCTGGTAGGAAAGATCTACACATAGCCTTCTCGGACAAGGGAGAAAAATCTCAGAGAGCCTTTGTGCTAGTTGCGCACGCTAAAGATCCCTCTGTGGTCTAAAATCGATAAGAGTAAGCTTCGGCCGCCACCGGGGCAAAATTCAAAATTTCCTATCCACTGAAAAAGTTTAATGTGTCCTGCGCGCTCCTGTGACCGTATGCAGTTGCAAGCGCCATAAAACACTTACCAAAAAAAAAATTTTAATAACTCGAAAAGTTGCCAAGATGTACATTATCCTTATGGCTGGATGACTTTGGAAGTTGCCTTGTATAGCAGGGATTTAATGCTAGAAAACTATTGTCATGATAGTTGTTTATTTGGAATTTATACGAAAGGTTCCTTTTCCTTGCAAGCATGAGAAGATTTGCTATGAATATGAAGGAAAAAGAAAAGTATTACGGGGGGCTCTCGTGGCCTAGAGGTTAAGGTGTTTGCTTCTCATTCAAAGGTCCCGGGTTCGAATCCGGGTACCAACGGAAAAATTTTATTCTCTAAAATTCTCTCACCTCCTTTCCTGCTCTCTAACAATGTTCTGTCGTCTGCTTTCGTCTCCACTTTCTGCCCCCACCCCCTCGCCTCCTTTGCCCCCTCTGGGCTACTGACTCTTTCTGCAGCCTTTCTATTCAGTCTCTTTGGCTTCCTCTTACTGCTGTCTTTCAGCCACACCACTGTTTTCTGGTAGGAAAGATCTACACCTAGACTTCTCGGACAAGGGTGAAAGATCTCGGAGGTCCCGTGTGCAAGATGTGCACCTTAAAGATCCCTTGGTGGTCTAAAATCGATAAGAGTAGGCTTTGGCCGCCACTTGGGCAAAATTCAAAATTTCCTCCAAACTGAAAATGTTTAATGTGTCCCGCGAGCTCATATGACCTTATGCAGTTGCGAGCACCGTAAAACACTTACCAAAACGAAACAAAGTATTAAGGATGTCAAAGGTCAATTGGGCCATTGTACTTTTATCTTCTTCTCTGTTCAGGAATTTGGATCCTCGTGGATTGTGTATCAGGAACCCAGAGCTTTTTTTTTCTGGCAAGTGTAAATATACTGATGGGTTTGGGGGGGGGGGGGGGGGAGGGAGGGTTAATGTTTTGGATGGATGGTTGGTACACATTGTGGGGTATCCTGCGACTATTAATTTTTTTTCATATTGTTGTCTGATCTATTTTTAATAATGTGTATATTATATATGTTATATATCTTTGAACTGGATTGCTGTACAACTACAAGACCTCAGCTCTGCTATTCTGCTTAACTATACTTCTCAAATACAGTGACTCCGTTACTGAACATTTTTAGTCTCTACCTTGCTTTCCTCCAGCTTTTCTTTGAGTATTGTGTGGCTGTGTGCTGTGTTTGGTTAGATGATGTATTCTCACTAACTGGGAGAGAGCAAACTCAAAAGTATTGATGATTTTGTATGTCATAACAATTTGACATTAACGAGCTGAAGGATAAAAACAAGGATTTCGGGAGCAATGACAACATATGACCTTTTTTATGGCTCTTTTTTGTTATTAATATGATTTTCCTTTTTCTAGCAAGAACACACATTTACTTTAAGTTTATGTGTATGCCTTTATTGTAAAGAAATGTTGGGGGAGGACACGATAGTCTCCTAGATAGTCTCCTAGTCTCCGTGCAGTAGGAGGGTGTACTCTTTCTCTTTTCGCCCCAAGGTGCGCATGTTTGTTAATTTTTATCTTAACTTATTATAACTTTTTATTTTTGTCTGGTGAAGTATTGTAAGTTGTCTATGAATTTCAAATGTTGATGCAAAAGTGATACAATAATAAGAGCATTATAATTATCAATATTTCATGTTCACAGCGCTTCCACTCTTTCTTATTTTTGCGGAAATCCGTACTTTCTGCCAGTTCCGTACTTGTTCCTCCATCATAATCAACTCCCTCTGTAAAAATCTGCGACAGCGCAGTACTACCGAAATTCTGTAGCAAAAGATCCATACTCGTCTTCGGATGGTCTTCATTTTGTCTAAGTTATGGATATTTACGGTATTTCTCTTGGCAATAGTTTATGTTATATAAAACTGCCAGATTGCGCATTTCCTGCCATCGGCCATTATTCCGCTATGCCCATGCATTCATTGCGGGTTGATCGGCAGTACATTTTTTACCTGCAGATTGAACAAAATCTGGCAAACTTTTTGTGCCACTTTCCTCCTTTCTATCGTTCCCTCACTCCGTCTGTCTATCTTCAGATTGTTGCCGTGACTGGAAAATCTGTGCTTTGATCAAGTTTATTGACTTGTAATCTTAGACAGAAAATTACTGTCAGAAAGTAAACTTTTTTACAAATTTATTGTCTAGATCTAGAGAAATTATCAATGCGAAGATTCTACGGCACGGGGATGCGATAAAAGAAGTTTGTGCCAAAACTACTACAATCAAGAATAATTCAAAATGGTGTTCTGTGGTTGTGACATGCGACATTCAGACGTGAAAATTGAGGAAAATTAGGGTATAGCTGGGTAACTTTATTGTGAAGGTACATACGTGTCTATTCTTAATTCCCAGATTTACATTCTATCAATGGTGCGATGACAAATTAATTGAATTATAGTAGCAATAGAAGGGGAACCTGCTTTTAAACATTGCCAGCAATGGAAAGATAATATGTAGATCTAGATTAGGTGAAGAAATCAAACATAACTAAATCTCGGTGAAAAAATAGGTCTAGTATGGGTTGTTGGCAATCTCTTCAAACAGGCTCCCAAATGCCATTTTCAACCCTCTAAAAGTACTAAAAATCAATTGGGGGGGGGGGGGGGGGCTTCGCCCCCTGAACCCCCAGCGGCCCCCAGACCCCCGGCACAATTGTCCTCAGTTTTCAGCTTCAGCTGGTGGAAGCACTGTGTTAAGCAGACAATCTCCGTACCACTTTAGATTTGTTTTGGCTACATTCATGTAACTTGTGTCAGATAAAAATTGTTTCAATTAGCACAGTCGGGAATTTAGTAAGTGTTGCAGTGCCGTGCAGCAGGGAGATCTTAATCACTTTTTAAAATTTACCAGAGAACTGTTATGAAATATTTATGATGGGTATGTTTTTTTCTTTCTTTTATAATTGTCCTTTTTGTCTGTCCTGTATCTCTCAGCCTTTTTATTTTTTCTTCTCTACAGATGAGTGCCAGTCAAAGTATGGCAATGCCAATGCCTGGAGATACTGCTGCCGTGTCTTTGATTTGCTCACCATAGCTGCTGTAAGTTTCCTTATTTTTAAGAATATAATTTTCTTTCTTCATCACACAGTACAGTACAGTTCCACCATCCACTTATGTAGTCTAGAAATATTAAAAGCAATTACTGAACATCAGCTGTGTGGCACATGGGCTTTTTTGTTTGGCTGCTAGGATTCAAAGCAAATGCTGAAATGAATTGCAGTATTGGAAAAGAAGTTTGTATTTTACAAGTTTTTGTGGGTGTTATTTTTTTTTTTATTCCACTGAAATGAGCACAAAGAGTCTGCCTCTCATGGAGGGAGGGTAAAAAGTTTCTTTCTGAAACAGATGAGTCCTATCTTGTAACTGTTCTCACATTTTTCTGCTTAGAGCTGACAAAATTGGGATAAATGGCAGCTCCATGGTTTATACTGGTAGTCATTTACTTAGATTTTACTGTACATTTTCGTATCAGGAGGAGCTTCAATTTACTGAAAATTGTTAATACTCATGAACGTTCACTTACAGCTATGTGCTTTTGGATATCATTTGTATTTCTCCATTGCGAGGATCACAGGCACGTCTATGAGGGCAAAGGGAGGATGCGATACGTCTTAGTGGTTTCAGATATAACTTTAAGGAGCATAGACATGTTGGGTTATCTTTTTACCGGTACTTCAGTTTGCAAAATTATATAGGGCTAACGCCCCTGTCAACACTGAAAAGTCATTTAGGAGGCGGGATCTCCAAATTTAATGCCCCATCTCCAATAGGACAGAGCCAAATGGGTGAAGAGCCTTGAAAGCTCCCCGAAACAACTGAAGTTCAAAATGCCCTGATGGAGATTTAAACAAGGGCCATCTACTCCGTAGACCAGCATGATACCAACTGAGCTAACAGAGTCCCTTTGGTTTACCCTTGAGCACATTTCTATTTTCTATTTTTGAAAAAAAGGTATGTTACAATGACACAGCTTGCTTGTTGTGAACTTTTGGTGGTTTATACTCCTTTGAGCACTTTTTCTCACCCCATTTTGTTATCCTGTCCAGATCATTGATGAAGTAATATTGTGTGTGCACGGAGGTCTTTCGCCCGACATCAAAACTATCGATCAAATCAGGACCATTGAAAGAAACCAAGAAATTCCCCACAAAGGTGCTTTTTGTGGTAAGTGGTATTTAAATTATAGAAATAATTCCTGTTGTGCCTACAATGTGCCCTGGCTGTAACGTGAATTTTCATATTCAGATGATTTGACATTTGCCATGAGTATAAGGTGTAATTGTGTGGATGTGTGTGATTTACTTTCTTATGTAAGGCCGTGCAGAATTCCTTCTTTATTCTGTCAATGGTTTAATTCAAGAACCTGTATTCTACGTTTTGAGAATTTAAAATGTGGTGTATTTTTATCCTTTTTGTCGATGCGGACCATGGAATATTGTTGCATCATTAGTTGTGTCTTCATAAATTCCAGAACTTTTGTGTCAGTAGTGCCTTATTCCTTCTCCCTTGCTAAATAGGAATAAAGGGAGAGAAATCAGTTTTTGTTGAGTTTGATTTCATAAGTATGCCAGACACTTTCAGAAATGTAGGCCAATAATATTTTTCCTAGCTATATTTTGACTGCTTTTTTTTGTTGTTGTTGTGTTTTTGATTTTTTTAAATTTTATAGTAATGAGGACAGAGGGTTGATGGGCACTCTGAATGAACAGTAACCTGGTAGTTGCCTTTTTCAGTGTAACTCTTTTATCATTTTCTGTTCTTGGTAAAATATGGGTGTTTTCAGACTGACTTCTATAAATTACTGCTGATCTTCTGTCGTGGGTGGTTGAAGAGGGGACAAGTAGCCATCATCGTGTAAATATGCTCCTCGTTACTCAAATTCAGATTCAAACTATGGTTGTGAGATTTTTGTTTTTCCTTATGTGCCTCTCTTTACCTCTCCTCAAATGTTTCTCCGTGTCTGTCCCCAGATCTCGTGTGGTCAGACCCAGAAGATGTGGACACGTGGGCCATGAGTCCTCGAGGTGCGGGCTGGTTGTTCGGGTCAAAGGTCACCAGTGAGGTATGTCTCAGTCTGTGTATCTCGCACGTGTATGACAAATGCCATTGCTGTTTCAACAGCCATTTTACTTGTTGATTGTGCTCATATCAGAGATGCCAACCATTACGATTTTACGTATTTTAGTACGATTTTTTTCCGAAAATACGCGAATACGACTTTTCATGAAAAAATACGCATCCTGGAATGCGAAAAATACGAGTTCCAGTTTGGGCGAGTAAACCTAAATATCTCAAGTCCCCTCTTTTGTCAAAATAGTATCAGTATCGCCGAACTGGAATATTTGAAAACCAAGTCCAATAAGGTCAGTATGTTCATTTTTGCCGGTCGCGATTGTGATATTATATTAGTACGTTTCACTTTCACGCGAACAGGCGGCTATGGCGGCAGACGGAAGTGTATGTGACACCGAGGCTTGATCGGGAAAATCAAGATCTATTTTCGCTTTCGTTACCACCGAGAAGTTTGCCAGCGGTAGACTGATAACGCAACTTATTTGTGACATGCAGGCTGTGCAGTGTAAACGCTGTGTCGCCATGCAAATAACATTTCTCGGACTCGTCTCTGTGCTGTCACTTGTAGGAAAAAAAGAAAAGAAAATATAAGCGTCGTCCGATTTTTAAGTTGTCGGGCTCGCCATCGTGACCGGTCAATGAACCTGCGCGCATTCGCATCACGAATAAATGCGGCATCGTGTGAGCAAAGACCGTGTTTGGTGGGAGTAATGGCGTTTGCTAGTATAGGACTACGGGAGGGGATTGTTGATTTTTCAAAAATACACTCGGGGGGGGGGGGGGGAGGGAGAAGGTGTGAAGGCAACACCAGAGGACAAAAACTTGGAGGCAAATTTCAGAATTTTGATTAGAGCTCTCTGCAAAGCGCGCTTTGGTGCAGGTCGTGTGCGGAATCGGGACCCTTCATGCTTTGCAAGTCTGTGTAATTGACATAAAATGTTCGCGTGTCATTGGATGGGTGATAGTAAATTATACCTACAGTGTATGTTCTAACTTTCTGTTCAAGATTTTCAGTGTCACTGCATCTTGCCCTCCCACAGTTGTTACAACTCTCACAGTGCATGGGTCTAGCTGAGCCATTTAAGTTATTGCTCTTCTCTGAGTTTGAGCTATAATTTTAGTCTGTCAGTTCATAATATGAATCATGACACCCAGACTGGTTCTTGATAGTCGAAGTTCTTGTTCTAGGCCCTTCCGAACGCTCAAAACAGGATTAATTTTTTATAATAATAATGAGAGGAAAATATTATAAGAGACTGAAATACTTAAGTCAAACAAGACCCCAGTACAACATTGAACACTGACATGTTGTTGACTGGATATATGTATATTGTACGCGTGTGTGCTCCCTTTTTCGAGCTGGTGAACTAGTACATTTTTTTCAGGAAATATCGCTGGACACCCTGAGCATTTAAATAAAATAATAAATAAATAAATAAATTACACTTTTTATTTGTCCCGAAAAGGCACTTTGTTTTACAATGGCAAACATACATTTACATACATAAATACATCATTATGAATACGTACATACATAAATGCATGCAGAAATACACAAATGAATACAGAATAATAAACAAATACAAAATAGTTTACAAACATGCCACTGTGGGTTGCCACTGTGCAGTGCTCTGTATTTTGAGCTAGGGTTGTTGTGTCTTGCTCAAGGACACACCCCAGTGACCACCCATCTGATCCCCGTGTCACCGACACTTGCTTGACATTACTTGAGACGAAACTCACTACTCACTTAGCCACTGGAGCCCCCACATTTTACTAGTTGGTCGGTCGGTCGTGGAGAATACACATTTTCCCCTGAAAATACACATTTTCATATTTCCCAATACTCATTTCGGTTTTCTGTGGTTGGCATCTCTGTCATACCATAAAGTTGAATTTTGGATTGGAATCCTGTTTCCTAAACTCTTTTTATCATAACTATTGAACAAATTACCCGTCTTTAGGCTGCTATGTCACTTGCAAAACATGTATAGGAATTTAGAGTGTGTATTTTCAAGCATCCTTCTGCCTTTTTGTATGCCTAGATTTTAATGAGCCTAAGCAGCATTCTTGGAGTGGCTGGATGACAGATGCTTTGGTGTGGTTTGTTCCATCTTTCGTATCAGATATCTATCATACTTATCTCCCCTGCTTCTTTTTTTTTGTGTTTCTTACTCTCTTGAAACACCACGATAATCTTCAGCACTTATATGACCTTATTGTGTTGCAAGTGCCATAAAACACTAAAACAAGAGCATTCTTGCAGAGTACCCTTTGTTTACCTACTTATTCCCCTCAGCTTGAATGTTCGGACTGTTACTTGCTGTTGCATTTGCTCTCCTACACACCGGCATTTTTATCTTTCAGTTGCAAATTAAAGAGTAATGCCATTATTGTGGGGTAAATGACTTGACATCAGATGAACAGAGTGCAGAAGAATGAGTGGAGACACTTTGCCCTCTTTGATCTTGTAATAAATTTTGTCATGTTTTATTTTTCCACAGTTTGTGGCTCTCAACAGTTTGAAGTTGATATGTCGAGCTCATCAGTTGGTCAATGAAGGTAAGTTAATATGCAGTTTACAGCTAGATCGATAACAACAACGACATGCAGTTTACAGCATTTCTGTACATTTTTGCTTCTTTTCAACAAATGTCTGCAATTTCATGGAAGTAAAAATATCTGATTGTGCCAAAATTTTGCACCTAGATGTTGATCCCAAAATATGTGTTACCCCCCGAGGTAGTGCTACTGACTGAAGTGTCTTTAGGCCATTCCCAAAGTGGGGACATTAACATGTTCTTATTCCTAGTAGAATTTTAAATTGGCTGATTCATCAATGTCATGCTCATAACTGTGCCTAAACTGCAACAGGGAACTGCTGCTTTTTCTTTCCTAATCCTTACTATCGTCATTTTCCTCTACTTCTTTTGTATGTTTGTCGCACTTTTGTGACCTGCTATTTCAGGGGTGCCTTGATTGTTGAAACAGACTTTGTGCTAGAGAGGTGAGCAGAGTAAGTCTGATTTCCTGTATGGACTTTTCTGTTGACATCCACCCCTTGGTAGACCTGCATGTTTGCCGACAATCGTCTGAAATCCGACAATCGCGACGCGACCCGCGAGGCGGCCGATGCTATCGCTAGGCCCACCTGTATCAGTCAATGTGCGTAGTGCGAGGCCTGGCCGACTGCCAGCGTCCCCCTTTTCTCCCGTCGGCTTTGTCGGCACTTTCGTTTTCGTGCCGACCGCCGACGCGCGCACCGTCGACTGCCGACGTCGGCGTTTCCGACATAATTGTCGGAACCTGAGTAGAAATGCGAATACGAAAAAAGACGACGACCTAAATTATCTACTTTCAGTTTCGTGCTCGAGCGGCCATTTTGAATTTCGTTTTGTTGACAAATTCAATTGTTCAGATCGTGTGGATTCATTCCAGTCCGACTCACTTAGATAATAGAATCTAGATCTAGATAGATCTAGATTTATATAGATCATTATAGACCTGAATGGAGAATTCATATTCCAATTCTATTTTGTCAAACCCTATCAAAGATTGTGCTGTAATATTAATGTTGGTAAAAGGCATTTCATCAGGTGCGTGAATTATTTGTTTATTTAGAATCTAGATCTAGATCTAGACTCAGCTGAGCCCCTCTGTTCGGAATCGGATGCAGATTTCTAGTTCAAGGCCTATTCCTAGATCCTATTCACTTGTTCTTCTAGATCTAGATCTAGATTTATTTAGTTTACTAGATCTATATGGAGGATTCTTATTCCAATTCTATTGTGTTATTTGATATCAAACCCTATTATTATAGATCTAGCAATATGTAGATGTAGGCCATTATATTATGCTCCTTGTAAGCCTTGTTTGTTTTGGGGTGTGGTTTTTTAATTTTAAAAATGTTTTTCATTTTGGACTTGTGCTGGCCTTTTCACATGAGGCTCGTTGCAGGTTCTTTTTTGGGGTAGGCCTAGGGGTAGGGGTAGGGTTAGGTCTCTTCTTTGTTGTGTTTGTTGGGGTAGTCGCTCGTTACTCGGAAGTCCTTCCTTATGACACCCACAAAAGCTCTTTTTTTTGGGGGGGGGGGGGTGCGCAAAATTTTCAGACAATCTGGTTTAGCCTCACATGCAGGTCTACCTTGGGGCTCATATGACCTTATGCAGTTGCGAGGGCCTTAAAAACTCTACTAAAACTAAACTAAAATATGCGTGTTCAAATAGTGTAAAGAGGAAGGTGTTTGTGCTAAACTTTGAAGGTCTTTTGGAACCTACTGTTCTATTCTTTCTACTTTTACACCTTGGTTGTGTTTGTTCACCATTATCTGTTGTGGAAGGTTTACTTTAAGTGAGATTACGGTAGATAAGATAAAGACTTTGTCACCATCTCCAGTTTGCGTACATTGTTGACTTCTTTTGATTTATAGTACCGGTACTTGTAGTATGCTCATGGTATCAAAATGATTTTTTAGCGATATCGAGTTTTCCAAGATAGGGTTAATTTTGATGGCATCTGTAAAAGGCTGTAATTAAAAAAGGTTTGTGTTTGATTAAATGAGCATTGAAAATTTGTTGAAGTATGTTGCACTCTATTTCAGTTTGTCTCTGCTGTTATGTTTATACTTAGAAATGATTGGTAGAGCTTCTTGTGTGGCCTGCTTTTTGTGCTTCTTTTCTTTTTGTCAATGTCCCAGTAATTTTAATCTGTAACTGGGAAAATGTTGTGAAAGTGGTGCTCAATTACTGCTGTACTGACTATGACTATAATATATGTGCTTTGACAAAAGGTTTTCAAAATATCGCATGTGTGTGGGAGATATTTTTGCTGTACTCATGTTGGTAGTTCCTCTGACTACAGTCATGTCAACGACATTTGTCTTTTTCAGGTTACAAGTTTATGTTTGACGAGAAGCTGGTGACGGTGTGGTCGGCGCCCAACTACTGCTACCGCTGTGGAAACATTGCAGCTGTGTTGTCTTTCCCCGACTCAGATCCGGACAGCAAAGAAGCTAAACTGTTCCGCGCCGTCCCTGACAGCGACCGCGTTATCCCGCCCCGCACGCAGACTCCCTATTTCTTGTAATTGTTTGAGCCTCATGGAAACGTAGAGAAAGTCGTACCCATGCTGCTGCCATTGATTGCCTGATGACTTGTGTACTGTTGAAACTCTATTGAAGTAAATTGAGAGATGAGTATGTCGTTAAGTACACAATACCATAATGCATTGAAATAAGAAAATGCGACGGCGCTCATATGACCTTATGAAGTTGCAAGCACCATAAAACCTCTTCTAAAAAAGAAAATGCCTCACAAATAATCAAAGTAAAGATTGTTTTGTTTAGCTGTTTGAAGAAGGATTTCATAGATTGTATTTTACTAACATAAAGAAAAGTTGTAGTCCCCTATATAGCAATTGAAATTTTCAGTGTTTGTTGATCTGAATGGGGGAAAAGAGAGCTATTGTTAGAATGATTTTGTAAATATGCAGATTTGTTTTCACATGGGAGAATATGCTGTATGTTTGGATGTTGGCCCTTTGGATGCTCGAGGCCTGTAGATACATGTGAAATGTTTATTTTCATATATATATATAAAAAATGTAAAATGCACGAAAGACTTGTACACAGTTTGTGTTTTCTTGTTGTGAAAACTTCCAAGTATTGCTGCCCGAGTGATTTCACATGTCTGACGAGCTCAGTGTTTGATGGTAATAACGTATGACTTTGAAGGAAGTAAAGCTTTTCTTTTGGCCTGTAAAGCCCATAGACGAAGAGGAGTTTGATAGCTGGAAGTAAAGCGCATAGATTTCCTTAAGACACTTCTCTGCTGCAAGCCTCTTTCTCCCCCCCCCCCCCCCCCCCATCCCCCCAGCTAATGTTGGCACATGGTTCACTTTAATGTGGAGTGTGGAAAAGGTTATCTTTCTTGTCTTTCCCAAAGATGCAACCTCAGAGCTTGAGCCGTCGGGCATTGAATTCGCCAGTTTTTTAGCCATAAGTTGGGCAGGGTATCCTTACCAGGGGGTCTGATTTGATTGCAGACTTGTGTGTTTCACTGCCCAGCTTGATAAAGTGTATAGCATCGTAAAAATAAATGTGTTCTCGTCTTATGACGTCGTAAGAGAGTTCAAGATAATGGACTTAATTATTAATTCTACTGGTAGAAATTGTTGAAAAATTCTTCTCATTTTAGTGCATGCTTTCTGTGCTCTCTGTAATGTTGAAGTTAAAAACTTCTGAAGTAAAGGCGACTGTGTTTGTTCAAGATGTAATGGCAAGTGATTTGTGTTGTAAAGTAGACTACTTTAGTGACCTAATTTTGAACATCCTATAAATCTGCATTTGGCATTTGCAATGCAATGAATGATATTGAAACGATGCGATATTTGGAACTCCAAACGATTGTCTGATAAGCAATATGTTCTGACTGATTGCTGTGCATTTTTTTTTCACCGAGACTCTCGGTCAAAGTTATGTTGAGCTTGGCAAGAGTGGTGTGTACAAAGAGTGTCTAGCTTGTTGATGCAGATATACTTGTTCTCTTGTTCGACAAATGATGAACACAGACATTTGTTTCATTGTACAGACAAGCATAGGGCAGGAAGATTGATGTTGAGATTATTTTTGAGTGGGCTCGTCAGAAATCTAAGTGAGACTGTGTGTATTTGTGTGTGTGTGTGGGTGTGCAAGTTTGGCTGTACATATTTTTATCCCAGCCAGTCATTATGCTGACATGTCAATGACAATGGTGTTATTTTCCAACATGCTGCATGCAGTGGCAGAAGTTTGCAGTTATGTGTTCAGTCCTGCATTTGATTTGTGAGCTCTTTACAATTTCATTTTCCTGGTGGGGGGAAAAGTGGCCAAAAAAGTAATGGCAGTAGGGGAGTGGTATTTCTCTCTTTGGTTTTTCCTGGGGGGGGGGGGGGTTGTATGTTTTGACTTGTTACTGTTTGTGTAATTGTTAATCTTGTTTTCTTCCTTCTTGTTACTAGTTGCGTGTGGAATTTTCTTTAAGTTTTTTCCAACGTGTGAGACTGATGTTTCTGAAGCTTCCTGCATGGTGATATGGCTGTAAGAACTTGTCTTTTCTGACTCGGGTACGAGTTTACTGGCTGTGCCCTGTTACCGTCTGCGTACAGGTAAGGTGCTGTGCCTTACCAGTACTGTGTGGAAACCACTCTTGTCATCTCAGCTGAACTGACAACTTGAACGCTGTCTCGTTAAGTGTCACTGGGACGTTTCATTTCTGTTCATCATTGTTTGCTTGAATCGGGACCAGGTTGAATGACATAAGTACTGAAGAATGCAATTTATTTAGAAATTAATTGATTTCCTGTAAATAAGGGATGTCCGATAATTGTGTTTTTTCGCAAATGATAGATCACTTCTTCCTTTTTGTTTGTGATGCCCACTTTGTCAACTTTTTCTTGTAAAATTATAAAATGAATAACTGAAGATCTCACTTTGAGGTGGCACTGTTGGCAACAGAATATTGAAATGGGATGGAGACTTATTTGAGGAAGAGCGGGTGGTTGACTGGTGCTGTGGTATTGTGCGCTCTCTCCTTCCTCTACTTTTCAGTGCTACTGCAATCCTTTTCATTTCCTGGTGACATGTGGTTGTTCTTTATGCATGTTTACTGTAAACTACCACTTCAGAAGGACGAGTTATATTGAGGGGAAGAATGTGTTATGATCAATTCATGACATTCCGTATTTTCCTTTCAGTCATTAGGTCAGAAAAGTGATTGCTAGAAAGGGCCAGGACATTGTAGCCTACTGTGAATACTGTGAATGTTGGGGGGGGGGTTTCTGCACCAAGCATTTAGAATGTCATGTATGTTTCGTGGAATGTTGAAAGTTAGGGGTTTTTTGGATGGGGGGAAAGGGTGGGAACTTTGGAGAGGAAGGTTAATAAATGGGTGCAGCTGTCACATGGTGATTCACAGAATTGTATTTGAAATGTGATGTGGATGACTTACTTGTATTTGACTTCTGTAATAAAAAAAAAATCTTTGATGTATCTTTGTTGTTTTGTTTGTTGTTGTTCTGGGTTTTTTCAGTTAATATGGGGGATTTGGAGGAATTTTCAAAGAAACAAATCTCCACTATGTTAAATCATAATAAACGTTCGAATTTGGTGTCGAGGTAAAAGTGAAATCTTTGTCTACTCGGACATAAGTTTTAGGACCACATTCACTTTCTTTGACGAAAGTCGTCAACAGTACCAAAGAACGTAAAAGGTAGAAAAAAGAAAAACGTTTCCAAATCAGATTTTACACGCGAAATTGTAGACCTACATACATTCGTCTGACCCTGCCAATTAACTTTTTTCAGTTGTTTCTTGAATGTTGTTCTGAGATTGTTCAGACCTACGTTAGGGGCTCCCGTGGTCTATTAAGGTGATTGCCTTTCATTCAATAGGTCCCGGTTTCGAAACTTGACCGCGAAGGAAAATGTTCTTCTCTAAACTATTCTCCTTTCACCTCCTTTCCTGCTCTCTAATCATGTTCTGTCGTCTGCTTTCGTCGCCAACTGACTGCCAGAGGTACACACGGCACACAACACCCACTGGTTGACTACTACTTGATAATCTTTCTCCCACGAGAAAGACATAGGGATAGAGAAGAAAAGAAGACTCTCGGCTCTGAATATATCAGGGTTCCCGCGGCCTCCTTGAATTCAACGAGTCCTTGAAAACTGCTTGAATTTGCATTCAAGGAAAAATCTCCTTGAAAATTCCTTGAATTTGCCTTCAAGGAAAAAAATCTCCTTGAAAACTCCTTGAATTTTGCCAGATCGGACAGGAACACGTGTACAGGGTGACTGCCACCCCCCCCCCCCCCCCCCCCCCCCCCGGGGGCTGGGCTGGAATTGCCCAGGAATTTGAAAAAAGTCGCCGAGATCCGGAATGCAATGGGAATTTGAAGAAATCTGTAAATTGCCCCGTGAAAGACCCGCGGAAATACATGAAAGTTCTCGAATATTTGAAAACCAAGTCCGATAACGTCCTTGAGTTCATTTTTGCCGGTCGCGATTGTGATATAATATTCATGCGGCCTTTCCCGGCCTGAGAGTACGTTACACGCGCACATGCGGTAATGGCGGCAACTAGTGGAAGTATGTGCGATACCGAAGCTCGATCGGGAAAATCGAGATCTACTTTCGCTTTTGTTACCACCCAGAAATTTGCCGGTAGGGCCTGTAGTAGTCTGATAACGCCACATTTGTAACATGCAGGTTCTGCATTACAAACGCTGTGTCGCCATGAAAATAAATCGTTTATCCTGTGCTGTCACTTGTGTAAAGAAAAAAAAAAGAAAAAGAAAGTTATACAATGAAGCTTCTTCTTGTCGGGCTCGCCATCGTGACCGGTCATTGAACCTGTGCGTTTTCGTCACATCGTGAGTATCGGCGATGGTTGAGGTCATCAAAGTTCATGCAAAGTTTGAGGGCAAAGACGCACGCGGGGGCGGGGGGTTGAAGGCAACACCGGATGACAACAAAAAAAACAACTGAAGTTGGAAGCAGATTTTACTTTTCAGAATTTTGATTACTACTAGATCTAGATATCTAGATCTCTCTGCCAGGCGCGCGTTGGTGCAGTCTTTGTGTGGAATCTGGATCCATCATTCTCAAACCGTGTAAGCCGTGTTCTTTTTACTAAAGGGTTCCCGTTTCTTTGCGTATGTGATAGTAAATCATATGTATTGTATATATATATATATATATATATTTTAGCTTTCTGTTCAAGATTAGCAGATTTTCAGTGTTACTGCATCTTGCCCTCCGACAGTTCTTACACCGCTCACACTGAATTGGTCTACTTGAGCCATTCATGGTATTACTTTGAGCTAGAGTAATAATTTTTGTCTTTCACGTTTATTATATAAACCTTGACACCCAAACTGGTTCTTGACAGTTGATATTCTGGTTCTAGGCCTTTTCTCAGTCTCAAAGCAAGATTCATTTTTATATAGTTTATATAGGCGAATATGAAGAGGGGAAAATATAGATAAAAGGAAGAACAGACTGAAATACCTAAGTCACAGTATCCCAGTGCCACACTGACATGTTGTTGACTGGATATAATGTACCTACATGCGTGTGTGTATATATTATATATAATATATAAATGGAGCATGCACTGTCATTGATATGTAACATGGCCCTGGAGAATGGGT